CCTTCAAACAGCTTTCATAACTCCCAATGTCCATCATCACCATAGCCGGCAACATGCAGATTAGAAAAGAGTGGAAAACCGCGTTAGAATATGGCCGAGTTCAGAGAGGAGTATGGCGGCCAAGTTCGGAGAGAGAGGAGAACGATGGGTTAGGGTGAGGAGAGTGATGAAGAATCGTGTTTTAGACTCTGTTGAGAGAGAGAAAAGTAAATCATTGAAAACTGAGTTAGGGATAAAGATGGAGTTTCAGAGAGAATGTAGTGGGTTTAGCAGAGAGAGAGAGAAGAGCGTGTTACTATTTTTCTCGCTAATTCTTTTTTGTTGTTGGAAACAGTAAATATTAAGTTTAATCAAATATCTCTTCCCAATGATACATAATCATCCACAGCGCCCTCCTCTAGGGTTTACAAAATCTTAATTGTCTCTTCCTCAAATCGGGTTTGGGCCTATCTTTTGGCCCAACCCATTTCACAGTTATTTCCCTTTTGTATTGATAAATACATAGAAATAAATGAATGAATAAGACAGTGCAGTGGTTAAGGCGATGGTGCTTGGAGGTGAGGTCCCGAGTTCGAGACCCCCTGGCGACATGTTCTTTTTCTTTTTTCTGTTTGCTTCATTTTCGTTTTGTTAAACAAAAAAAAAACTATCTTGGGCTTTCTCTTTAGCTCATTTAAAAAAAATAGCACACCCCCTATAAATTGTTTTACATCCTTATTCTAATGTCAAGTTTAATTTTATGTCTTTTATTGTTTTTCTTAGTTCTTTTTTTTTTATCTTAGTTTAAAGTCAATTAAATAATCATGCAGTCTTTTAGTTAGATGATTTTAATAATTAGTTTTGACTTAGAATTCTTGTAATAATTTTATAATTTTAATTTAGTTAGTAATCTTAGATTTTAGTTTAGTTTTAGAACTGATCTAGTAATTTTAGAATTTTTAATTTAGTTTTAAAATTAATTTAGCAACTTATAATTTTAAGTTTAGTTTGGATTTATTTTAATAACTTTAGTTTAGATTTAATTTTATTAATCTTTAGTTTCAATCCTAAAAATTCAATTTCGAATTATTTAATTTTCTTAAATTAGTTTAGGGATTTTGTGAAAACTTAGTTAATTAACATTTTTTTGTTTAGTCAATATTCTTTTAAATTGTTTAAATTTCTTCATGATAGACAAAATTCCAAAAAAAATAATAGAATAGAATTTTATTTTTTATTTTTCTCACAAAATACCAAAAACATTATTTTGCCTATTAGTTTTACTTTAATAGTTTTGTTTTAGTCTAACTAACTGTTTATTTTTAATTCGATTTGATTGTATTGATTGTTTATTTAGACTTTTAATCGCATTGACGATTCGATCCATCCCCATTTGTAAACTTGTATCCCCCATTCTCGAACACTTTGTAATAGCGTAGAATTTCAATTTCCGCAATTTACTGTTTTCCTTATACTGTATAGTAATTAGGCGTGTATGGCAAGATTCAAACCCTTAGACATAGATTTTTCCCGTATTTTCTTTCCATGCATTTCCTCTCAGCATTAAGCTTTAGACATAGATTTTTGCACACCCTTAGATTAGAGAAAACTTAAGTGGATCTTGTGGAGTACCATAGATGCGTGGGGTGCTAATATTTTCCCCCTTGCGTAACCGACTTCCTTACCCTTTCTCTTGGTTGCAAGACCATCTTATCTATTTCTTTGGGGTTCTATCGATGTCTTCCTTCCTTCGGGATAAATAGACTTCGGTGGTGACTCTGTGTTTTTTTACAGCGCGACTGATCGGTCACCATTTGTACTCTATTTTCAGCAATCAGTCGGTAAAAAGTCTATCATTTCGGTAACACAATGTTTCATATTTTATCGTTCTCAATATTTTATTTTAGTTTTCATGGTAAGTGGTTTTGCATTGCATTGATTTGGGAATGCATGTCAATTAGGGTGCTTTTGATGCTTGGTTTGGTAATGTTAATGTCTCGGGTACACGCGAGCAAATATGAGTAACTGATGTGAAACCGAAGGATATTCCGCGGAAGTTAAAAGTGAAAGAACAGAAGCCTGGCACGTGTGCCCGTGTCACCTGACACGGCCCATGTCAGGGTGTGCAGATGAAGAGCACGAGAGTACAAAAACAAAAGGCTGACATGGGTGCCCGTGTCACCTGACACGACCCGTGTCAGCAGGCCTGGGAGTAAGAAAATTTGATAACAAAGGCAGAGGGTCAACACGGGTGCCCATGTCACCTGACACGGCCCGTGTCAGCAGGCCTGGGAGCAAGAAACTTTGATAACCAAGGCAGAGGGCCAACACGGGTGCCCGTGTTGCCTGACACGGCCTGTGTTGGCAGGCGCGAGATAAATCATATTTTCATTCACTTTAAATGGTTGAGCTCATTAAGGATAGTTTTGACTTTCCACACTGTTGTGTTGTGACCTGATACTATTTAAACCTAGTTTTGAGAACCATTTAAAAAAATCTTGGATCATAGAGAAGAGAGAATTATAGAAGAAAGAGAGTGAGCAAGGGTTTCAAAGAGGAACGATCTTCAAGGGCAATCGCAATTGAAGATCAACCGAATCAATAAATCTTTATAATGTCTACACTTTATTTTGTAAGCTTTATGAATATTATGAGTAGCTAAACACCTCAATGTTAGGGGGTGCCCATGAATTGCGAATGTTATGAACTAAATTTCCATTATTTTTATGATATTAATGTTTTTACGAGTTTAATTTATTGTGCAGTGAGTTTAATGCTTTTTTTATCGGATAAATAGTTCTTGATTTAAGGTTAAGGTTAGGTCGGACAAACCACCTTAACGTTGTTTGCACAATAATACAATGGTGAAATCGCTTAGGAATGAGGATTTAACTGTAGTAACCGTAAAGTCTTGGTAAACAATTCGAATTGCTTGATATCGTTGTTAATAGCTAAGGAATTAGGATTAAGGATGAATATCAAAGGTTTTCAGTTAAGGAATTAAGGAAAACAATTCTTGAGATTTGGTATTGATTCATTTTCACAATATGTCATGAAACATGGAAGAAAGTTCGTCACCAAACAATTCACACACCTAACCCTAGCATGCTTTCTCATATATTACAAACTTTTACTTTTCGCTTTGTTTAATTTGCTATCATTTATTATTACTCTCAAACAACCACAAAACCCCCATGTTCTTTTATTCAGTTGAATTATTATAATAACTTATATTTTCTACGCAGCCCGTGAGATTGATATTTGAGATTAATTCCTTCTTATTACTACATTGGTAAAAATAGCACACTTTCTATTTTGCCGATCAACGACACTATTCTTAGCAACCAATTAATACACATTCATAATAAACCTTGACATTCCCACACACTTACCAGCTTGGATTCTCTTCTGAACCAAACATCCACTATTCGCTTCATCACACAAAGGTTACATATCTAAACGACTTGTAACTGACAACTCTTGTCACCTACTTACGAGTTCACGCGATATAGTCCTTTTCACGATCCACACTTAGTTTCATATTTAAGTTTGGATCACTCTCAGTTGCTTGCCACATACTTGGACTCTCATAACACAAAGCTTACTTGCTCGAACAAAAGAGTGTGATACTCCACAACTATCACAACACAAGATAATCAAACATACATACTTGTGACCAAGACACTATTAATTATTTTCTATAAATAAATTAGATCGGAGCGGGTTGTGTTAAGTTTGAGTCCAATCCAAATACTTTTAGGTGAAATATTGAAATCTATACTCTCTCTCAAATATGATACAAGAATATGTACAATCTCTTAAGTATGACATGTCAATATTGTTTAACATAGAGATCAAAATATATGTAATCCCTAACACATGAGAATTATAGAGACGAAAAGCTTTGGTTTAGTTGAAAACCAAAATATACAAATAATGAAAGACTAAATATTTTATATTAAATATTAAAATAATTAATTTTTGCCTATATAAGAGACGTGAGAATATAAAAGTTAAATATGTTTTATATTCTTATAAAACTAAAATATTTGAAATCTAGTCTTTATATAAGACTAAACAACGAATGTTAAAAAAAAAATTATAATAATAATAATTTGTTAATAATTGATATTATTTTTACAAATTTATTCTTCAAGAAATAAAATTAATTTATATTCTCGTTATAATATCTATGATAAAATGTTTAAAAGATATAAATATATAAGTATATTAGGAAAGAAGTGATTAATACTCTTAATAATTTATTTATTTTATATATAAAAAATCATATAGTTAAAGACATAGTTGTAAATATTCTTCATAAAAGCACTTAAATTTAATAGAAAGAATAAATAGTGTGTAGTACGGGTGGTAAAATGAGTCCGATCGGTTGAGTATAGTCTTCACCCTCTAATGTGACTGTCTTGTTCCATTCTATTTTTTTTAAGCTTTTACGGGCATGATTATTAGTATAAAATTTTATATTTTTAGAACTAAAAGATGCAGTGTCTGGATTTTTCCTGTCCCACGCTCATTTTTTTATAAAACACACTTAAATTTTAGACTCTCATTCTCAATTCTCAACTATGTCTGCCCCATCTCACCAGACAGCATGTCAGTTTACCGGATAGAGTAACCATTTCAAGATTGTACAAGTAAAAATTGTACATTAAACATTTATTGAAAAAATATATAGAAAATAGAAAAGTCACTTTTTTTTTTTTTCAATGAAACCAGTTTCATTTCACTTCATCTCATCATCATCACCATCATTTTCAATGTCTTCAAAACATCCTATGTCTTAAGATAACTTGGAACCAACAAAAACTCTTGAACTTCTTCCACTTTTTAACCTTAAGCTTCACATTCTTACACTTTTTCTTCTTCTCTATCTTTGTATTTTACACTTCCACATTATCTCTCTCTTCTCATCTTCAAACTCCATTGAAACTTAGATGCTACATTGATTAGATCCAAGCTTTTTACCCAACCCATTACTGTTTTTAACCTGAAAAAGGGTCATGGGTGGTGGTAGTATTAGAGAATCATGGTGTTTTTGTAAAGGGGTGAGTAAGTCTGAGAGAATGAAAGGTGCTATTTTTTCAGGAAAAAACCAAGCTTTAGCTACAATTAGTAACAGTAATGTTGTTAATGGTGTTTCTGGAACTGGGTTTCTTATTCATAGGAACCTTCTTTTGACTACTCATGCTAATCTTCCTTCTGCTGTTGCTGCGAGTAGCTCTGAGATCCGCTTGCATAATGGTGTTGCGGCTACTCTTGTTCCTCAGAGGTAACACCCCGTTTGTTTTTTCTTATGTTATTTTATTTGAGTTGATGAAAATGCTGGTATTGTTTATTTTTGGGTGCTTTTGTTTTTGTGGATTTGATAGGTTTTTTGGGGGGTGTGTATAGAACTTAGTGGAAGATTAGACCTGAGGTAGAATAGTAGAAATTTGTTGACTTTTGGGTTTAATTTTGTTTCTAGAATTTGGATAGCTATGCAGTTAATTTGGTAAAGTTGGTGTGAAATTCATTTCTAAATGTTTGGAATTTGAACCGATGTCTTAAAAACCGAACAGGCGAGAGACTTTTGGATCATGGTTCAGTTGATTTTGATTTAAACAGCGCATGTCTCTGTAACATCGACACCTCTGGAAAAAAAAAAGTGTGTGTAAATGTCGCTGTCGGTGTCCGAAATCAACACTGACACTTGTGATGACGATTAATTAATTTATTTTTTTCAAATTATTACCGTTGTCGATTTGTTAGTGTTGGTGTCGTATTTCCAGTGACTGTGCTTCATCGGTGCAGATTGAAGAAAAAAACGACGCTGTCGAATAGCTCAAATAACCTAACTATAGACAGTGTCCGTTCACCGTTATACAGGTTGAACCGTCTGGTTCGATTTTTAAAACATTAGTTGGAAAACTTAACAAAACAAACACATCTTAGGTTTGCTTTTTGAACTGTTTGAGTGTACAATATCCTTCTTGTTATTGTCTTTATCACTGTACAACATATTCTCCAACACATGCTTCTTCATGTATCTGACTTTTTTTATGCCTGCAGTTCAGGTAAGTTTGAAATTGTTTGTTGCTTATTTCTTTTTATAGTATTTGAGTAATGTGGCGTGCTTGTGCCAAATATTTGTTCGCTTTATCTAGGAAATGTGGTTGCAGATTTAGTTTATTGCATACACAGAAGGTAATTTCTATATATGATGTAAACAAGTGTCATGTCATCCATGTTATTTGTTATAGGCATATTACACCCTTATCCTATTGGAAATTAGGTTACCTATAATAGAACAACCAACTGTAAAGGTATGGAGCCTTAGATGTTTATTTTGTGACTTTAATCTGCTTAAAGTCAAACTAGCAGGTGTTAGCAGACCGAAATAGTAGTGAAGATAACTGTAAAATTTCCTTGTTTTATAATGTAACAATTATTAGATCTGTTGTTGTCACTTGCTATGAACATTGATGTCAATCGCAGATTGCAAAAAATAGTGGTTTGTTCAAATTCTGCTACGCTATAGTGCTATAGTGACGCTATAATTGTGGTCTAGAGTGCATGATATTTTTTTGAATTGGTTTCAGGTTTTTCATTACAAGTTCTGTATTGGATCTTACTATAGTGGGTTTAGATGATGCGGACGGAGAATCAAACGCGCAGGGTCAAAACTCTCACTACTTGAAGACTTATTGTAAAACCAATCTTGATCTAGGAAGTGTAGTGTACCTTTTAGGCTACACAAAGAAACAAGAGCTCACTGTTGGCGAAGGAAAGGTCGTCATAGCGACCGACAATCTCATAAAACTCTGTACCGATGGAATTATATGGAGTCCAGGCTCTGCAGGATTTGATGTGAATGGAAATCTAGCTTTTATGATATGTGATCCTATGAAATTATCTACGTCACCGAATACAAAATCGCCTTCAACTTCTGGATCATCTTCCTCGTCGTGGAAGAAGGATCTCCCAATGCAATTCGGCATACCGATTCCTGTCATATGTGATTGGTTAAATCAGCATTGGGAAGGTAACCTTGATGAGCTTAACAAGCCGAAGTTACCGCTCATGCGGTTGATGTCTAACGGCCCTAGGAGCGAACATTCATGCGCTTCCTTCACTTTGCGGCAGGTTTTCAAGTCGGCAGATGGTGACAATGAGGGCACCTCGTCTTCATCAAACAACAATGTCGTAAAAACAAGAGATCAAGGACAAAGCTCGGTTGCTGCCGCCAACACTGCCGAAGAGGAAAACATGAATACCAACTCTAATGCTGCACATATACAGGGGATTCCAACTCCAGAAATATATGAATCGCCTAGAGTAACTTCTGTGCCGCTCAGAAAGAAAGAAAACACACAAATACAACTTTTGGACATCAATTTCCCCCCAAGGATTGCCAAACCTGCAGTTTTATCGCAATCGTCGAAGGAACCGTATCCGAAACCTGCTGAACCTCTGCATGAAAACCAGCCAAAAGGAGAACAAAACCAAGACAGAATGCGAATGCCAGTAACAACTCCCATCGCAGAAGTCTCCTCAACAGGTTCTGTTAACGGAGCTCTAAGTGAAGTTCAATCTAGTTCGTCTCCCGTTGATGCTTCCCAAATGCGCGACGGATATACTAGCGAAGGAGAGACTATGTACTCAGCAGAAACCGCAGAGAGCCGTAACTACACAAGTCCTCGAGAGTTGAACTTCCAACAAGTGGGAAGGAGTCAGAGTTGTGTTAGTCACAATAGATGGGGTGCTGCAAAGAGGAGTCAAGTTGCTCGCGGGATGCTAGTTGAAAATCAAAGAAGCTTCATGAATGTAAAGAAGATGCATTCACAAGGAGCAACTTCTCAGAGAAGCAACGAGTATTTCAGCCCAACCGTGTCGTCGATCATGAAACGTAACGGCTCCGAGCAACCAACAAGATCCAGGCAAACTGCTTTTCATTCTCCTTCACCAAGATGGATGTTTTGATTGATAATTTATATTATGATGTTTATTTTTCTAGTGGATAGAGTTATTATATATAACTAAAATGAAAAAGAAGAGTATAGTGTCTTTATATGTTTCTTCTTTTGTTCTCTTTATTTACAATTTTTTATGGAACATATGCATACACCTGTTGTGGCAAATAAGAAATGTATGTCAAAATGTAGATTTCTTTCAAATCAATGTTCTCTGTTTCTCTCCAAAATTCAATTTCTAACAAGGTGTTACTTTTAAGTTCTTATTGAATTTGTGTGCCTAAATCAGATAACACATGATATCCTAATAATAATGATATGGATTTGATTTTTTTTTATTCTAACAGGTACCAATCATCAAAGTCATCTCACCGTAGAAATTTATAGCAAGGTATTGATTACTAGAATGGAAAGCATAGAATCCAAAATCTTGGTATTCATATCTTCTTGTACTTCACAGATAATCCAGTGTATGTAATGGTGTATTGAGTTTGGTTGCTGAGTACACATATTAGATAATTCATTAACCATCTACTGTTTTTATTAATTACTACTATTTTAGAAGTTTTAACTGAAATAGGATAAATCATTAACCATTCACTAAACTCAATCTTGGTGTACCCAATAACTGATCTCAAATATGTGGAACCACAATTTTGAACATATTAAGGGTCTGCCTATGAAATCTCCAAAAATTCGGACAAAAATCCTAATATGCTATTTGTATTGTCCGAATTTCAAAATTCAAACATGCATATTATACACTTCATCAGAGTGACACCCTATTTTTGTCAAAAAAATGTTCTGAATTTCAATCTTTGGATTAAGCTTGCCAGCATATCTTTTGTGCTTTCTTACAATGGGAAAAATACTGTTTCAAATTCTAATTTCCGGATTAATCTTATGATAGGATTTTATACCCTTAGATAATAAGTTAGAAGAAATTTGACATTTTTTAATAAACCTTACATTATAAATCATTAACAAATCAATCCCACAATAAATTATACAAATTTATCATTCAATGATAAGATCAAAATAAAAGAACTATTACGTATATCTGAGTGCTTAAATGTCAAAATGTCAAAAGCAAAACGTCAAAATGTCATTATAAATTCCACAATAAACCATAATACAAAATATCAAAATATACAAAATAAAAGATATGTATAGCGTATATTTGACACCCATGTTCCTCTGCGGCCTATATTGCGATGCATGTTGTGTCTCTGCTAAGATGGTTTGTAGAGTAGCCATATGAGGAATGTCTTCCTCAAACTCGCCCCTAGTTATGGCTTATCTCCCAATAACCATAATACAATGACATATTGACATCAACGACTTGGTTCGCCCTTGCCTGCTCTTTCTCTAAGATCTCCTGATAAGCTAGTCTTGGAGGATCTCTGTCTACATTTGGTGTATTGTACGAATGTGATACTTTATAAAACCATTGGTTTTAGTTGTATGGTGTACTCCATGGACGATGAGCTGGAACGTGACGCACATCCTCTAGGACTAGATGATTGTAGTACTCTGCAAAATTCTCATTAACATCCATGTGAAGGATAATAACATGAGTAGTAACCATGAGGGCTCTGGGTAACCCTACATATGTCTGAATTCCCGTAGGACTCACTCAAGTAAATATGGACACATAAGTCGAGACCCACATGCCAACCATCAAGAGTACAAGACTATCACCTCCAAGGCCAATGGTCATGTCTCACAGTGCTTACTATACGACATAAAACAAATATCATATGGCACGATGCGGTCAAGCGCAACTCAGAATGGCTTAGTCGCCTGATTTTCTCCGTGCGAGATGATTGAGCACACGTGGCAAATTTTCAGAGTAGACTTCCACATACTCTCAACCAGAGAGACGTGGAAATGGTGGTGGATCCATGCCTTAAAATGGTTAAGGTAAAATATTAGTAACATTGTAGCACGAGTATTATGAAATTAATATCAGTAAGGGTACAAAAAATTACCGTAAATAAACAGTTGTTTCCTGTCAACTATTGAGTCTTCCATAAACTACCTTCGACTAACTTGGAATAGAGGTACACCAAACAAGAAACCCCCAAGATGTACTCATGAATCCTCTCTAAGTCAATGAAATATCTAAGGTAGATAACGTTGACATAGGTCGCACTTTTGTCCATACCAAAATCAAGAGGTATGGTCTCAATGCATATGCTCTATGTTATGAAACTCGTGCATCATCACCATTAACATCCACAGTCGCAACTAGGTGGTGCTATACAGATTCAACATGAATGATAATCTAGCATGACATCATCTGGTGTCATCTATCTCATGTTGGCCTTTTCTCGTGTTAACTCTCAAATAAGTCACCATCGTGTCTAGTGCCTCAGGTCTACCAGTTATGGAGTAGTTTAATAATTTTCTTGTGATTAAAAGATGTATGAGGCATGATACATCATCAAGTGTGATGGACATCTCATCAATCGAAAGATAAATTGAGATGTTTATACATTCCATCTCTCCACAAAATAGACAAAACCCATGATTAACATAACCATATCTAATCCTGAATAAATCCTACAGTTTAGATAGCTGCAAGACATCCTGAAACCATGATTCATCAGGTTACGCCAATTTTGCAACCTTCCTACTGCAGATGATGCATTTTAATGTATCATGATATTGGAAAAAAAACGAATACATCCATTGTTCGACAGTTCAAATACTATAACACAAATGTTTTTAAAAGTAATTAAAGATTTATGTTATATTTACCCCCACATGTGCCTAGTCGTATGATCTAGATATATGGGAACTAGTGAAAGGTCTAAGGGGTCTCCCGAGAAACCATTAGGCACAACAGCATATGGGGCATCTGGGGCTTGTGGAGCAAGACAAACTTTTAGGGCAGTAAGGGACACGTGAATCCTGAAAGACAGTATGAGAGACACATGAATCCAAGAAGACAATCCCTCACCAACAATAGAAGACCCTCCAATCGCATGTCGCGGGGGTCTAACTTTCTCCCGACGAATAGAAGTATATTGGGCCACTCTACCATATCTCAATCTTTCTTGGCTGTCAGGCATTTGTCCTTCAGTCAACCAAGAAAAATAATTTCATAATAGAGTAGAAACAAAAAACAATGAAACAAAGCTATTATAGAAAACCAATCCTAAAAATAGATAACAAGCAACTTCGAATTTTGTTCTCCGGAACAAAGGTCTGGATTTTGAAATTCGGTCTGCACTGAACCAGAAACCATGATGTAGAAATAGAGCATACACGAACCCTAAATTATAATGTTCACATTTTAAAGCAAATGCAGTTAAAGACAAACAAAAATGACATATATATTGCATTCAAGGCTAATGTATCATACTTATAAACTAATTAGGTAATACATGCATGTCAAATCAAAAAGGACAATGGAATAAGTAACTTACCAATGTAATGGAGTAGAATTTTTAAAGACATGCTAAGCTTCAATACAATAGAGTAGAAGCTCTTAGAATGCTTGAAAATGATGGAACATGTTCTGAGAATACAAATGAGGAGAAGCTCTAGTTTTGCTCTATTTGCAGAAATAAAAATGAGAAGGGAGAGAAAAAGACACATATACTTAAAGAGAAGCGTCTTGATTCTAATATCCGTAAAGAATTTGGATATTAGAATCCATAGTATTTTGAAATTGTGTGGTTTGAGATTGGACATATGTGTGATGTGTTGAGACACGTCCGAAATTCAATCTCCGTAACTTACTATTACAGATTCTAAAGTTCGAATTATTTTAACTCTAACTTTAGTGTGTTCTAGAAAGGGTATGTTATGTGCCAAGTGCCTTCGGATTATAGAATCTAAATTTAAAGATTATTTTTGGAATTTGACAAAATGAGTGAGTAATTCATGAAGTATATTGAACAATTCCTTTTATATAATACTACATGTATCACACGAAACCATGTTGATATCAGTTGTTTGAATCATGTTAAAATTGTTTAAATTTGATGATTAACTTTTAACTCTAAATGTTGGTTGTTTAATTTATAGATAGTTTCACATTTTTATTTTACACTATTCGATATTAATACTATTTTGAGGCCAAGAGTGGCATACAGCAAGACATGTTTATTATGTTCCTAAGCCGGAAACAAGTGCGGACATGCATTTCTTGGTTGGCAGTGATAACTAAAAAAGCACAAGCTCAAGTTGAGGTCCAATACACCGACGATGTAAATCCAACCTATAGCAATAACTGAAAAAATGCATGATTTGGGGATGAGATGTTCTACATTAGGTCAATACCAACAAATAATGGACACCATAAATGAATGAAAAAGACAAGTAGGCATTAGTTACAAAACATGAGTGTCCCTTGCATGGTGTACAAATATATGAATTTAAAGTTTCAGATAATTAGGTAATAGTACAACAAATAATTGTATGCATTATTAGATTCTGCAGTCTGAAAGTTGAGTTTGAACAAAATTTGAAGGTCTCGTCTCACTCATCCTTGCAACAAGTGCTTAAAATGAGTAGCACGTGATCATTCAATAGTGCAATATGCATTATGACAATAGCTTGTTTGTTTAATTCTTTTTAAAATATATGGTATTTATGCATTTTAATGCTCAGGTACTTAAAGTAATCCCTTTCCTTTAATGCTCAGGTGCTTATGTCTTTTTGTCAATAAAAATTGACTTGTTATAAAGACATAAGCACCTTTATAACAAGATTTGTTGTCACAATTCATTTGTGAAAAAAATTGAACACTCAAATTAGATCAGTTAAACAATGAAATTCAGTTTAGACCACTAGAACAATGATATTGGTTTTTTTAAGCTTGCGTATTAAGTATGTGGGTTACAGAGCCAAATAACGAATCTGATGCAAACAACTTGAGATTATTGACAACTTGAGATTATTGTTGAAACTAAACATGGCTATTAAGACTTGAGAGCCTATGTAGCTATACAACGATTTAATCTCAGTGTGTTTACCAAATTATTAAGAGAAGAAAACAACTGATTGTAACAGAGAAAGAGTATGCATACATTAGTGGAAATTCAAAACTGCATGTACACTACTATTGAGTACAAGGTAAAATGCCAAAAATCCTTTCCAACTCTCAATCAGATAATTGCTGGTAGCAGCTAATTCTAAACTTCAGGGAAGATCTATATAGACCACTTCAGCTGGTGCTAACATCAACTCCTCTTTGATTCAAATATTCCTTGGCCTCAACAATATCCTGGAAAGAAGCAAAATAATAAGCAACATTCTTTGGCATTCTACGACTGACAAATGGCTTGTCAGAATTTGAAACATCATCCAGCATTATGCTACAATCATCTGGTCATAATTATTATTTAACTGCTTAAGGATCATTTAGGAAGAAAAGTTGGCATTTATATGACAATAGGAGTGCTTTTTGAACCCTGAGTTAAGATTGGGTAAGCAAAAGCATGGGACACTGGTCCATTTTCTTGGTTGAAATAGATTCACAATTAGATGAGATATCATTTAATTTTCACAAACATGAAAACAAAGCCTACAAAAATGCACAATGACATATGGGAACAAGACAATGATCCTAATTAATGATATTGGTGACTTGGGTCCTTTGATGATCTAAAAAGAACGAAATGCAGTCATTTGCTGCCACAATTACTCACATGAACGATGCACATTTTTATTCCATTCCTGCAGACAGGATTTTGGGGGCTTGACTTGACATTGAATAAGTTACCATCTACAAATCAGTACATATTAAAGGATAGGAAGGTTATCTTATCTCAAGTTCGTGAGAGCTTGTGTTCCTAAGTGTTTGGGTTGTTCTTGCTTCCCTATTCTTAGACCTTACAATTAAAAAAAAAGTTTCAGTTTAGGTCTCAAGAGAGTCTTTATTGGCTACTCCACCTCTCATAAGGGCTACCAGTGTATGTCCCTGATGGTCGTATCTACATCTCCAATGGATAGGAAGGTACACTTATATCAAGCTCATGAGAGTTTGGGTAGACTGTCACACATTGTATAGTTTCCCTCTAATTGATTCTGTTAGCTTGTAACTAACTCTGTTAAGAGTCTAACTAACTGACTGACAGCTGTCAATTAGTTAACCGGACTCAACTAGTTTCCCCTTCTTCCTAAGGCAGCCTATAAATAGGATTGACCTCAATTGATCTTGTAACTGAATTCATTTCAATCAAAACCATTAGCTGAAAAACTCATTCAGTTCATGCTTTTCTCTAAAGTTTTCATCTATGAATATTTTCAATTTAGTGATTTGAGAAACTCTAATAGTACAGAAGCCTTATTCAATGGAACTGAGAACAATGGTCCATTACAGGATGTGGCAGATATTTTTGCAGGAGACGATAAAAAGGATTTGAATCATAATCCAGGTCCACAAATGAAAATTTATTGAATCAAAGTTCCTTACATGTTGCATTTGCAAGAGTACTCATGTGTCAAGTCCAGATTTTGCAATAAAACTTTCTGATAGAAATGTTCAATATGAGGGAGGGGGAAAAGGATATTGGTGACAAAATACTATCAACTCTGGACCTCAAGGAGTTGTCTGCTACCTGAGATTACCTAGTTTATGCAACATGATTTGAAAACATGTGTTACTTTGCCACCACAACATTTATGTCCCCCTTCTATTCCTATTCCATTGTCAACACAAACAAGTCAACAATATTGTTAAATGTACTTGTAACCTAAATATTGTGGCGTGTCCCCTTTTAAAAAGGTTCTTATTAGAGGGAACCAGAAAAATAAGTGAAATATTAAGGAACAAAATTTTGTTGACGGGTAGAAAAAGGAGTGTACTCATAAAGACTAAGGCTAGAATGTCTGAGGAGAATTCTTTGATATGTCATTTTTAGAAATTTGTAATTGGCATGTTTCTGGAGGACACTTCTTTAAGACTGATTTTTTCCCTTCTCTTCCGTAAAATTGCAAGGACTTTCTTATAAATTACTTTAATCTCAGTAAGAGATAATTCTGAAATTAGATGAACCTAAATAATAGACAACATTTATCCGACCAAATTAAGTATGTAGCAATTATAAACAACTGTTGCTCAAGTATAACTGCTAACGAAATTAAATGTAACAACTCCTAATAATATAATAACTTCCACTAAACTGCTCCTAATAATATAATAATTGCCACAAACATAACAGTCATTTTTCCTAAATGAGAGGTCTAAGACTCCAGTCCTGAAATTATTTCAAACAATTGTAGAAGAGTAAACTCCAAGTGCACACATCTACAAACATTTAATTAAGTACATAACGATGCAATCACCAATGCACATAGGTAGAAATACCTTTTGCAACAACAGAGCTTCCTGAGGACATGTAGGAAAATTCATCAGACCAACTCCAACCATTAATAGACCGTAACATCCTAAAGACACGACAAAATAGATTGGTAGCTGCATAAAGGACACAAGTATATGTTAGCATTATGAGGTTTATAATCCTATCAAAAGGTTTGGTTATGCTGGAAAGGATCAAAGAACTTTTCTTGTAAGGCTTAGGTTAAATCTATCTCTCAGCAATCCCCCTTTGAAGGCTATCTACGTATACATAATAAATCCTCATTGAGGTGTATAGTGCAATAGCTTAGGAAACAGAAAAGATTTCCTTCCCCAAAATAATATTGTACTAAAAACCAAATTAAAAAGTAAAGTAGTATGTGTATGACATGAAACCTACCAACCAAGTATGACTTTGTGGTATGATAGAAGTTTGTAGAAGGCCAATCCATAAAGCAGTGATGGCAATTACCAACGTCAAAATCTTTACAATATGCTTCATTTATGAATCTGAAACCAGATGAATAATATGAACATGTGTGTCAGTGTGTTTGGGTATATACAAAAAAAGAAATTTTATTTGTGTGAATAATTGCTTCATCACAAAAATAAAATATGTGGCCGGGTATTCAAATGTAAAAATAGAAGGACTGAGTGGGAGAATCAGAAGACGCATTCATGATCATGGATTTCTAGATATCAGTTATAGCATAGTCATCATACATAAATCAGAATGTTCATACATTTGTTATGAAACAAAGCATAAAAGTTATGATCTAATGAAACTGACTCCATTTTTTTAAAAATGAGAAATACTCAAGTAAAAGACCCTTGTAGCTGCTACCATCAGATGGGATTTCCATGAAATACATTTCATTGTTAATAATAACAGATATGATAGTTATATCACTCAAAGCCCTTGCGCAGTTTCCCAGCATCATTTGGACTTTACAAGCAAAATGTATGATTGACTAAATTCATATTTATCAACTAATCAAATGCAAAGTATAAGACTCACTACAGATCAAAAACGCTGAAGAATTTAAATCTTAACAAACTCTGAATTTCTTTTCTAAAACGACACTTATATTGTACCGCTTGACCCAAAAGAAACAGACTCCTAAAAATCAAGATCATGAAGGTAGGTATTACGGAATAAAGAAAATAAATGTAAAAGAAAAAATAAAAGCCTGTTAAATTTGATCATGGAATTCGACTCATAACATACATCTATCACATCACATAGCAAATGCATCATTCAAAAGGATTATAATTATATTGCCTTGAAGTTAAAATGGGTTAACAACTGGTACATCACAGCGGCTCCAATCTCTATCATGCAAATACAATTACGTTACTAAAATGATAGGTAAAATTTCAAAATAAATAATCAATTGAAACCACTCAAGAAGAAACCAATTATACATGGCAACTGAAGTAAACTATTTTCCACTTCCATCAGGAGGGGGTCACCATGAAAATCATTTCAAAGTTCAACAGAACTCAAAACCCTTGCGCAATTTCCCAACATCACTTGGAAGTTTCAGGAACAAATCCTATCACCTAAAAACACATGTTGCCAGAACTAAGCATGTACGAAAATAAAAATTATTGTAAATTTCAAAGGCCTTAAGAAAAAAGCATTCAATTGATTACACATGGCAACTGAAGTAAACTATTTTCCACTTCCATCAGGAGGGGTCACCATGAAATTCATTTCAAAGTTCAACAGAACTCAAAACCCTTGCGCAATTTCCCAACATCACTTGGAAGTTTCAGGAACAAACCTTATCACCTAAAAACACATGTTGCCGGAACTAAGCAAGTATGAAAGTAAAAATAATTGTAAATTTCAAAGGCCTTAAGAAAAGAGCATTCAATTGATAATACGAGCATTCCTCAAGAAGAAACCAATTATACATGGCAACTGAAGTAAACTATTTTCCACTTCCATCAGGAGGGGTCACCATGAAATTCATTTCAAAGTTCAACAGAACTCAAAACCCTTGCGCAATTTCCCAACATCACTTGGAAGTTTCAGGAACAAACCCTATCACCTAAAAACACATGTTGCCAGAACTAAGCAAGTACGAAAATAAAAATTATTGTAAATTTCAAAGGCCTTAAGAAAAAAGCATTCCATTGATAACATAATAATAACAATCCTTTATGACCATATATTTTAAGCAAATAATTATTGCTGCTACTACCATTAATAAGTTTTTATTTCTGTATGAAAATCCCAATCAACTAGATTCAGATTACTAAATCTATATATAAAATGTTCAAATGTATTATTTAAAATAGTGGCTTGTGAAGAGCCATTAGCTTAAAAGGTACACTAAGTGTACCTCTTAAATGGAAAAACAAATATTTTAAATGGGAAAACCCATTGTGTGTGACTATGGATTTCTAGATTCCAGTCATAACATAGATGTCGACTAGTCGTACACACATCAGACAATTACATAATACTCATACATCTGTAATGAAGCAAAGTTTAAAACTTACAGTCTAATAGAACTGAACTGTTATTAAAAAAATACTCAAGTAAAAGACTCTTGTAGTCAATGACATCAGATGGGATTTCCATGAAATTCATTTCATTGCTAATAACAGATGTGTTAGTTACATGACTCAAAGCCCTTGCGCATTTTCCCAGCATCATTTGGAGCTTACAAGCAAAATATATGCTTTTGATTAATTTCATATTTGTCAACTAATCCACTACGATGTATAAGACTCACTACAAATCATAGACACGGAAATTTTACATCTTATCCTGCTCTGAATTTCTTTCCAAAAAACTTATATTATATTGCCGAACCCAAAAGAAATAAGCTTCCTAAAAATCAGCACTTCAGCATAAAGGTAAGTACTACTAAAAAGAAAAAAATATAAATAAAATACAAACACATTGAATTAGATTATAGAACTCAATTCATAACAGACATTTATCACACGGCAAATGCTTTCAAAGGGGTTATAATCATATTGACTTATAAATTAAAAGTTTAAAACTGATTAACAACTAATACATCATTGCAGCTCCAAACTCTCTACCAATGCAAATGCAGTTAAAATGATAAGGATATATATCATTTAGAAATAAAAAATCAACTGAAATAAACTATTTTTCCCTTCCATCAGGTGGGATCAACATGAAATTCATTTCACAGTTCAACAGAACTCATAGCCCTTGCGCAATTTCCCAACATCACTTGGAAGTTGCTGGAACAAACCCTATCATCTAAAATCGCACGTTACAAACTGAAACATTATGTATATCAAAGGCCTTAAGAAAAGAGCATTCCATCAAATTCAGAATCACAAGGATCCCTAAAAGATCAGGGTTCATTCACACATCTAGGGTTTTGTTAAAAGCTATGAGACGTGTGGATACCTGGGTGGCGCGATGCAAGTTGCAACCAGGAAGAAATGAGAGTTGTATGTTGTTGGAGAACAGACGTGGTGGTGGCAAGTCGGAGGCGGGAGGTGGTCGTGATGGACTCGAACAGGTATTGATTATGCGCGGCGCGATCTAGTGAAATTGAGAGAGAGGGGAGAGGAGATCTGGTTCGGGGTGGAGGAAACAGTGGCGGAGATCAGAGGATTTCAACGGTGGGGGCGCGGTGATGGTGAAATGGGGATGAGAGAGCGGCGTAACTTTAGAATGAGAGGGACATTTCTGTGTGTGGGAGAGGAAAAGGGAGTTATGGACATTGTTTTAAGAACCGACCCGGTCCGGTCCGGTCCGGTCCGGCTATAAGTTTCGTAGTGTTGGGCCATTGGGTTACTGAGACTGGTCAATCACTTGTCGGACCGTATGGGGGTCGATCTAATATAAGGGGTTGTACTTTACATTTTTAGTGGTGAAAAGTCACACTTGTAAAATATAAATTTGTCTTTTGCAAATTTGAAAATATACTTTTGTTTGCACACGAATGCAAAATACATTAGATTCATTTGTAAGTGAGTCGGCCATTCAATATTGTCAAAAATTACTTCGAAAGTGATATCTAACTGTTGTAACTGGTTTTTTAGTCAGAGTCGTCATCCTTAATTTTTATCTTAAAGAAAGAGAGTATAAAGGAATAACCCTAAAAAAATTAAGAGATTTTAGGTTTGGACTAGATTCTAGACGATGGAAAGGTGTTATATACTCTTTATCTAACTAGGTTTAAATTTTAGTTAACGGGACTCGCCACAATTTTTGATCGTATGCCTACGTATCCTCTTAGGAGGAATCAGAGTCTCATTTTCGTAGTTCGCGGCATTTGTTGATGTTTTTTATGGATTGCGAAATATATTTTGAATTTCCTGCATATGTAGTCTAAGGTTGTGAATAAGCGGAGTTTGTTAGACCAAATACGCAGTCAATTTAAACATATTCGTATTTCTTTTCGAAAAATTAATTGTTTGAATTAATTTAATTTGCGAAAAAAATTTAGTGTTTGATTGAATACTTTTAGACATATAGCAGAGGAGTCTGTTATAGTCTCGTTATCACGTGGTCAGATATTGGCCACGTGTCATTCGTAGACGTAATATTTTGGTGAAACGTGTAAGTTTTAATATTTTGATATAAAATATTAATTATTTAGATTTTTGAATAATTGACTAATAGACGATGTGTCGATCAATCCTTATTCGAGGACATAGTGAATGAAGAATCTACCGATTCAAACATGAAAACGCAGTAGGATAATGGGACGGCGGGGTTGCGATTTCATAAGTGTATTTTCAACTTTATAATTCCTCAACCAATCATAGCATGCCAAGTGGCATCATAGAAGAAAATAATAAAAATGAAAATGATATCCAAGAAGAGAAATATTGATATATATACGCACACATGGAGAGAGAAAGTAGAATACAACTACACAACACATTTCTTCTTTTTTCTGCATGCTTTACTTCTTCAGTTTTTCCCTTTTATCTTCAAATCTCTCTCTTCCAATTTCTTCTTAAAAAACATGGCATACATCATATTGCAATGAAACATTAAAATATAAAAATATATGAACCTGACCTTGGCGATACATCTATCGGCGGCTGGTATCAGAAGCCGCGAGAATCCGACGGAATCGCGGTGGCTGTTGGCTTGTCAGAGCAGATCAAAAACGGGAGCGGTTGACAACGATTCCTCCACTTCTCCTTACTGTAACCTTTTTCTGTTTATTCTTCCCTATAAATCTTCTTTCCCCTACTGTAATTCTTCTTTTTTGGTTCCTCCCTTTCTCACTGTGATTATCTTCTTCGTTTTATAGTGATTCGGGTCTTTAGCAAAAAAGAAAGGATAATAATGTGTCTGTAATTTGGTTCTTAGAATTTGATTGGGTTTTATGCTTTACGAAATATTTTGAACTTTGTCTGTAATTTAAAAGTATTGTGTTTAATTTTGTCTTGGATTGATTTATATATTAATCCAGAATTTTTGTCTGCATTATTGATTCTATTCGATTTCAAATTGAGTGAGAAAAGTTTATTTCTGTTTGTAGC